CTCCCCCACACCGCTCGAGCCACCACTGCTTTTCTCCAGGCAAACAACATTGATGTCCTGGCTCGGCCATCACTGTCTCCTGACATGGCACCAATTGAGCAGGTGTCCGACGAGCTTGGCCGCCGTTTGTCCCGTGGAAAACCTATACACAATCTCCAAGAGCTGAGACGTTCTTTGACAAATGAGTGGGTACAGATTCCACAGGTGTTCTTGAGAAGACGCTACCTATCCCGTACACTGTATTCAGGCCAATGGAGGACATACACGATACTAAAGCAAGTGTTAAAAACTCAATTTACCTCTCTGATTTTTGAAAAATGACTTTTGTTACTTCATGTTTTTGTGCTCGCGGTGTCTTTTGACCTTTTCATTTAATACCAGCTGTGAATGTTCACAAAATGACCATAAAATGCAATGGTATATAATCTGTTAAAAAAAATAAACACATCACCATTATTTGAATTGTTTTGTAAGTGGTGCGTTTTTAATGACCGTCAGTATACAAATGATATTAATAGTTGTATAATAATAATCATATTATAACGGAGCGTGGCCTAAAACATTTGGATCGTATAGACTCCTAAACCACCCCACAGACAATTGTGAAAATTTCTATGTAGATGTAAATTTAGGTGAGGATGTGCATGGAAGAGTTAATTTTTTGGGGGGAAAACCTGTCTTTTTGTTGCAGATAAACAAAAACTGAAAAATGATTAATTCAAAGAAACCGAAAAGAACACTTCACCTTTGTTCCGACTGCTTCCCGCCGGTGACGTTTGGCTTGTTATTGCCAGTTGGCATTGTAAAGTAAGGTTAGATCTACCTCTATCAAGATCGTAAAATCATTTAATAAAATAAGTTAAGTAAAGTAAGCCTGGATCATTATTATTTTGCTTCCGATAGATCTTAGTTTCAAATGATGAATCAAGATCTAGATCTAATATCTCCAACCATTATAATCTTTTAATTAGTATAAAAGAGGCCCTGAACATAACTCCATAATATGCTCTGGCTGGAACTCATGCTTTTTTAAATTTCTCCCGACTCTCCCCACAGTCGGACGAGAAGACAGTCAGTACGAAGACGTTGATTTGGACATGTCGTTGCAGGACAACTCTACCCTGGGTATGGTCGGTAAAATCTTTGTCAGAAACATTCAAACCTGTTTGTATGTATAGTGTTGCAAATTTTTCTTTGTATCTCATCGTACTTATCTTAGCTTATCTTAGCTTATCTTATCTCGGTTCTGGCCGGAAAGTCTTTGTCAGAAACAGCAAACCTGTTTCTTTGTGTGGTGCAGAACATTTTTATACTGCTGGTACTATCTTCTCTTCTCTTCTCTTGAAAGGATCTCTTGAAAAGAAGATGAAAAGGAAATGGGGCGATTGGGCAGGGAACTTCTCATATCGAAGTTCTCCTAAAGGAGGTTAGTGGTCAGGAAAGGGATGATGCGATGAAGGGAAGAGAGACTGCAGAGTAAAACAAGAAAAACAAAAAAACAAAAACAAATCTACACCATTTGAAAAAAAAAATTTTTTTCTCCACATGGAAGTTTTGCGCTTCAAATTTGTACGCAACATTTTGGTTGTCTGATATTCTGAAGAAGAAGAAGAAGAAGAAGAAAAAGAAGAAGAAGAAGAAGAAGAAGAAGAACAAGAACAAGAACAAGAACAAGAACAAGAACAAGAACAAGAACAGCAACAATAACAACAAAAAACCACCACCAACAACAAAGACATAAAAAAGAAAAATAAGAAAGAAAAAAAACAAGTTTTAGTTCTCGACACTAAATTCATGGAGTGGACAACAGAATATGCATATCTTACGAGGAATAAAAGGACATCAGTTTAAAATTATAGTTTTTCATATTTTTATCTCTGAATGATGAACAGCTGTGTGTGTGTGTGTGTGTGTGTGTGTGTGTGTGTGTGTGTGTGTGTGTGT